GATCTTCGATCTAATCAAATCGGAGATGTTGGAGCACAACATTTAGCAGCTGGATTAGAGGACAACACAGTAATTTTTATTCTCTCTTCATATTTACAATTTTTTCACTTTTTATGTAGACACTGGTCGCACTATATCTCTATCATAATCAAATCGGACATGTTGGGGCAAAACATTTAGGGAACGCATTACGACACAACAGAGTAATTCTCATTCTCTGTTTACCTATTTTATATCTTTAAGTCTGCTTTTTCACGTAGACACTCACTACACTGCATCTTTTTTGTAATCAAATCGGAGATGTGGGAGCACAACATTTGGCTGATACATTACGACATAATACGGTAATTTTTATTCTCTATTCGTGTTTATAATATTTCTACCTACACTTTTCGTCTAGACACTAACCACATTGGATCTCCGAGGTAATCAACTCGGGCTTGTTGGAGTACAACATTTCGTTGATGCATTACAACACAATAGAGTAATATTCATTCATCCATCATCTACAAGATGTCTTTACTTCTAATTTTCCTTTCAGACACTCACCACACTGCATATAAATGAAATAGGAATGGTATACGACGATCTAAAGAAAATCAAGAAATTCGTAGGACGTAATCAAGTACGAAATAAAGCGTAGATGCTAATATTAAATTTAGTCTAATGGGGAATGTACAGATGATGATGATCATACAAATATTTTTGTTGTATTATGATGTTTGCATAAATAGCAAATAAACTAGCTTGTTTTTTTTGATTTGAGATATATTGTTGTGGTGATGTTTCTGTAATAATTTTAGTATGGCTCTCGTGAGAATGTTGCTAGTTCAAAGAAAATGTAGGATTCTTTGGAAAACTATTTTGTGGTTGCGCAGGGTGTGGGTGTGGATATTGCATTCTCACACGTCCACGCCCTCAATTGGTGAATCTGCTTTATCGTATAATATCACACAGAATTAGATGGTAGGATTAGATATCGATAACTTCATATTGTTTCTTTCGTTGTTTGATTGTAAAATAAATCTTAATCATTATTATTGATCAAAAACTACAGTTACTGAAAGAAATTTTTATTTTATTATTTTTTCGAAAGAATAAATAATCAATAAAAATGTTTAAAAACATATTAATGTGCAGAATCACGCAATATTTATTTGATGAATAAAATAGATATAATCAAACTATAAAACAATGATCAAGTTATTTATATGAGTAATATATATGTAATCACAATCAACAATAACACATTCATATTATTTCTGGTTTATAATCTCTCAATAAATATATGAAAAAGTTAAGCAATATATCATTGAACATAATAGAATATTCTGATATTATTTTCTTTCGTAATGTATCAAGAAAGTGTTGCTAAAATAAATTAAATAGGATAGGTATGATACAGCAACACTCGTACCCTCAACATAGAAGATTTAAACGAAATCACTCAGTATAAAATCAAAAAATAATACATATAAAATTATACGAATAATTGGCAGAAAATTTTAGTTCTATAATGTAGATTTCTTCTGATATTTCAAATAAAAAAAATTTGTAACACTTTTACTTTTCATATTGTTTTTTTCCGATAAAAGCAGGCATACGTTATGGTTTCTAATTTCTATTGTGTAAAATAAATACTTTTGTAAACAATCGTACTTGAAAAAGATTTCATATCTCAAATAAAATAGTCATTTAGTCTTATATAAACTTCACTGATTATAACTAAGAACACAGTATCCATGTCTAGTGTATACCATTCTATGTCGTTAAAAACGTCATCATGAAAACATTGACTACAGTTATTCTCACGATTCTGTTATTAGAGCTGTAAGCCGATAAGTCAATCGGCGGCGGCTTTGCAAAAATCAAATTAAGATCAGCAGAGAATCATTAACAATATTGCAAGTTAAATAAAGATGAATATAACCAAAAATACTATACTTTTCTCATTTTGCTACCTGTTTATATTCATATTAATAATTTTTTCTTTCTTTCAAAACCAAGTGATGATTTTTATTCTTTTTTCTCGCAATTACACACGTTCGTTTCTATTTGATTTACAAACGTATGAATATAACGATTACTATTCTATTTCATCAGTTTTTTCGTTCTTTAGAACTGATGACGCGTGACAAAACAAATGTAATTTCTGATTCATGTTGTTTATTTGATAGAAGCATTTGATTTCACGCATTGCAGTTACAACAAACAGTATTCAAAGTTACTTTTGAAAAATTTTCAAATCAACGTTTAGTTATGCAAGATACAATGCACATTATTTTTCGTGCACTTCTGATCATTGCAGTTCTTACAATTGCCGTTTATTGTCAAGGTGGTGGTGGTGGTGGTGGTAGTAGTAGAGGTGGCAGTCGTAGCCGAAGTAGTCGAAGTAAGTTTTTTATTAAAATTAAGGATATTTACATGATGAAATAGATCTATAATGTTCATTCAAACTTGATTTTGTTCTAGAGTTACTAGATATGTATGGAATTCTGTTTCATTAAAACTACCCGAAGTAATATGAAACATCGTTTTCTTCGATTCTGAATAGTATTTTTTTTGTTCGGCTAAAGTTATCCAATATTATAAGGTGTTTAACACTGACGTCATAACAGGTTTACAATACGAAATAATGTCTGATTTTGGATAGGAAACTATTCAGTACTCATACTTCTTTCGCACAGAAGATTTTTAGCAAAAGATTCTATATAATAGATAATAAATAATTTTGATATATATTCATTAATTATAGGTTTTTCTTCGTATCGCAGCTCACGTAATTGTACGGATGGCACTTGTCAACAAGAAAATACTGTTGTTGAATATGCAATTGGTGGCACTGCTCTTACATTATTCGGTATAGCTTGCTATTACATATGGTCGCAAGGTAGACCAGCTCATTCGAATGCGACTTATATAGATTTGCCATCAGATGAAGTCGAATTGCAAGAAGCGAACCACTTTATATCAGGATTCTGGTCGAGTCAATATTATCAATATAAAATATGGCATGGACCGTATCAGTTTTCACTTTTATTTGATTCGGAAACGCAGAAAGTGACCGGTAATGGATCTGATGATGTCGGTGTGTACACCATTGAAGGTATTTATTCAACAAAAA